CGATCCTTGAGCCTACGGTACGCAGGTGGCGCCTGCGATCTTGTTTCTTTTAGCCTACGGTACGCAGGTGGCGCCTGCGATCTTCTTTCTTTTAGCCTACGGTACGCAGGTGGCGCCTGCGACCCTCCCTCTTGGAGGAGTTTAACGTTGCGCGCACGTCGCGTGCTTCCTGGACCCGGCCGTGCTGCGCGTCTTGCGCGCCGTGCGGTCGGGGCCACACTTGCGCTCTGCGCCCGGCGCCTCGTGCGCCGCCACCCTTTTCGGTTCTTTTGCGCGCATCGCGCACGCGCCGCGCCCGCGCTCTGGGTGCGCGGGCGCGGAAGGCCTCAAGGTTGCAGGCAAGTGGCCGCGCGCGCGAGGCTCTTGCAGCCTCTGATCCCGCCCTCGCACTCGGGCGGGGCGTCCCCGCGCGCGCGGCTGCGTCTTTCTTTTCTCATGGCCGAGCGGCCGCAGGCGTGCCAGAGCGCGAGCGCGCGGGCCGTCAGGGCCCACGCGCTCGCGTTGAGCGTGGGGCCACCAGGGCCCACGCTCGGCGGAGATGCGCGTCGCCACGCTGCCATGAAAATACCATCGCCCTGTCCTGGTCCCTCTCTCGTCCCCTCCTCTCCTCCTCCTCCTCCGTTGAGTGCACGCGTATCTCACTTAACTTGTATAGTCTGATTGGTTGTAGACTGCAGGTTAAGTGGGAGGGGGTGTGGGCTCAGGTAGCCATTTTGGGTCCGTAGCGTTCGGCTCTGGCCGACGCGCGGGTGCCCACCCACCCCGCTTTGCTCCCAGACGCCTGCGTCGGCCGAGCGGCCACAGGCGTGCCAGAGCGCGAGCGCGCGGGCCGTCAGGGCCCACGCGCTCGCGTTGAGCGTGGGGCCACCAGGGCCCACGCTCGGCGGAGATGCGCGTCGCCACGCTGCCATGAAAATACCATCGCCCTGTCCTGGTCCCTCTCTCGTCCCCTCCTCTCCTCCTCCTCCTCCGTTGAGTGCACGCGTATCTCACTTAACCAGGCCCCAAAGGGCGCACCCCTCTCACGGATCGTGGTCTGGCCCCACAGGGAGCTCCACCAAGTTTTGATTTCGCCACACCCCTCTCGAGGATCGTGGCTCAGGGAGCTCCACCGAGGCTTCATTTCGGCGCACCCCTCTCACGGATCGCTGCCCTGGCCCCACAGGCAGCTCCACCGAGGCTCCATTTCGGCACACCCCTCTCGAGGATCGTGGCCCTGGCCCCACAGGCAGCTCCACCGAGGCATCATTTCGGCACACCCCTCTCACGGATCGTGGCCCTGGCCCCACAGGGAGCTCCACCGAAGCTCGACTTCGGCACATTTCTCTCGAGGATCGGGGCCCTGGCCCCACAGGGAGCTCCACCGAAGCTTGGTTTCGGCGCACCCCTCTCACGGATCGTGGCCCTGGCCCCACAGGGAGTTCCACCGAGGCTTCATTTCGGTACACCCCTCTCGAGGATCGTGGCCCTGGCCCCGCAGGCAGCGCCACCGAGGCTTCACTTCGGCACACCCCTCTCGAGGATCGTAGCTCTGGCCCTACAAGGGGCTCCACAGAGGCTGCACTTCGGCACACCCCTCTCGAGGATCGTGAATTTGGTCCCACAGGGAGCTCCACCGAAACTTGATTTCGGCCCACCCCTCTCGCGGATCGTGGCCCTGGCCCCACAGGGAACCCCACCGAGGCTTCATTTCGGCACACCCCTCTCGAGGATCGTAGCCCTGGCCCCACAGGGAGTTCCACCGAGGCTCGATTTCGGTACACCCCTCTCACGGATCGTGGCTCAGGGAGCTCCACCGAAGGTGGATTTCGGCGCACCCTTCTCACGGATCGTGGCCCTGGCCCCACAGGGAGCTCCACCGAGGCTCGATTTCGGCACACCCCTCTCGAGGATCGGGGCCCTGGCCCCACAGGGAGCTCCACCGAAGCTTGGTTTCGGTGCACCCCTCTCACGGATCGTGGCCCTGGCCCCACAGGGAGCTCCACCGAGGCTTCACTTCGGCACACCCCTCTCGAGGATCGTGGCTCTGGCCCCACAGGGAGCTCCACCGAATGTGGATTTCGGCGCAAGCCCTCTCGAGGATCGTGGCCCTGGCCCCACAGGGGCCTCCACCGAGGCTTCACTTCGGCACCCCCCTCTCGAGGATCGTGGCCCTGGCCCCACAGGCAGCTCCACCGAGGCTCCATTTCGGCACACCCCTGTCGAGGATCGTGGCCCTGGCCCCACAGGGAGCTCCACCGAAGCTCGACTTCGGCAAATTCCTCTCGAGGATCGTAGCCCTGGCCCCACAGGGAACTCCAATGGAATCCCTCGCAACCCTATAGCAATCCTGTAGGAATCCTCTAGGAATCCGATTGTAATACTACAGGATTCCATAGCAACCCTATAGGAACCCGAGGGGGGTCCTATAGGATCCCTACAGGGTCCTACGGGATTCCATCGGCCCCCTATAGGGATCTTATAGGGTGCTTACAGGGTCCAACAGGATCCCATAGAAACCCTATAGGAGTCCTATAGGATCCCTACAGGGTCCTACGGGATTTCATCGCCCCCCTTATGGGGATCTTATAGGGTGCTTACAGGGTCCAACAGGATCCCATAGAAACCTTATAGGAGTCCTATAGGATCCCTACAGGGTCCTGCACGATTCCATCGGAACCCTTGAGGGATCCCATAGGATCGTTAGAACAACAGGATCCCATCGGAACCCTATAGGGGTCCTATAGGATCCTTACAGGGTCCTGCACGATTCCATCGGAACCCCATGGGGACCCCATAGGATCCTTCCAGGGTCCTGCGCGATTCCATGGGAACCCTATAGGGATCCTATAGGATCCTTACAGGGTCCTGCACGATTCCATCGGAACCCCATGGGGATCCCATAGGATCCTTCCAGGGTCCTGCGCGATTTCATGGGAACCCTATAGGGATCCTATAGGATCCTTACAGGGTCCTGCACGATTCCATAGGAACCCTATAGGGATCCTATAGGATCCTTACAGGGTCCTGCACGATTCCATAGGAACCCTAAAGGGATCTTATTGGATTCTTACAGGGTCCTGCACGATTCCATAGGAACCCTAGAGGGATCCTAGTGGATTCTTACAAGGTCCTGCACGATTCCGTGGGAGTGCGAACAGGAGGAGGAGCTGGCCTCGCTGGCGCGTGGTCGGTTTTCGGACACAGGAGTGCGTGGGGAACAGTAAGGAAGCCAATGGAGATCCGGAAACACATATAGATTTACATGAGCGTATGACAGAGGTGTTGCGCGTTGCTCCCCCCCCCCCCCGGGGAAACAACTGCAACGTGTGGCCTGGGGCAGTGCGCTCGCCCCGGGGGCAAGGACACTCCCACGGGCCCCGCCGGGGTGGCCTGAGAGAGTGTCCTTGCGTTGTTGTTGTTGCTGCTGTTGTTGTTGTTGTTGTTGGGGTTCTGGTGTGGCGTTCAGGGAAATCCTTCCCACTCTGCTCAGGCTGGGAAAAGTTTTCTCCGAACGCCGCCACATTGTCCGTTGCCGCATAGCAGCTGGTCGCACCATGCGATTCCTTGTCCGGACACACGTCGCGCTTCGGATGTCCGCGCCAACCTCGCTTGTTATACTGTAGCACGATAGTGCCGAATGTGGATCATTACGCGTGTTCATTACACACCGTACTTTTCCACGTGCTTGCACCCGCGAGCCTGAACGAACGAGACTGAGTCGGGAACGTCCTCTGCAGAGGGCAGCTCATTGAACCACCGTTGATAAGGAAGTGGGGGAGGATGGATGGGGTGGTAAATGACGAGGAGGAGGAGGAGGAGGAGGAGGAGGAGGAGGAGGAGGAGGAGGAGGAGGAGGAGGGGGGGGAGGAACGCGAGGAGGAAGGGGGGGAGGAGGAGGAAGAGGAGGAGGAGGATAATGAGCACGTGTAAGATGTAGTCCGGCCATGCCCGCGCCCGAGACTGGGCAAAGCGCAGAGATTTCTCATGACATGCGCGCAGTTTGCCACTTCGAACCAGGGACGTTGCACGGGCCCCGCTGACGACGCTTGACCCAAGGCGGGCCGAAGTTGCCCCAGGCCATGACAGGCGAAACCGCGCCCAAACCTGGGCCAAACCATGCAAATTGCGAGGACGCCTCAGGCGGAACCGCGCCCAAACGAAGGCACACCAAGCAAATTGGGAGGACGTCTCCAAAGAAACCGCGCCGAAACCAGACGAAACCAAACAAATCCCGAGAACGTTTCGAGCGAAACAGGGCCGAAACTAGGCAAAACCACCCGAAACCAAGTAAATACGTTTCGGACAAAAACGCGCCCAAAACAGGCTAAATCAGGCAAGCTGCGAGGACGTCTCCGGCGAAACTGGGCCTAAAGCAGAGGCAAAACCAAGGAGATCGCGAGCATGTTTCAGGCGGCCAAGCCAGGCGAAATCTGAGGACGTCCTGGGCGGAATCGCCGAAACCAGGCTCCATCCACTTTCCTTGATAAGAGTCGAATCTAAAGGAGTGGATGACCCCATGGGGGCACCCCGCAGGCGCAAGCCCGTTTAGAATTTTATGAGGTGGGCGTTTGGACCATGTGTCTGCTGAGGCGGACGGGGTTGGCCGCAGAAGGTTTCATATGTCTTTCGTAGGTGGGGCTTTGGTGTGCCGTTCGGAGACATGTTTCAAACCTATAGCTTACGGTGGCAGGAATGGGCGAAAAAGCCGCGCCGAAACGGCGTATTGGCAAAGCAAATGATAGCACATGCGATCAGGCAAAAAGCTTGTGTTGATGCAACGTGTAAAGGAGGAGGATGAAGGAGGATGAGGAGGAGGAGGAGGACGAGGAGGAGGAGGAGGGGAGGAGGAGGAAGAGGATGAGGAGGAGGAGAAGGAGCAGCAGCAGAAGCAGCAGCATGAGAGAGGAGGGGGAGGGAGGAGGGGGAGGGAGGAGGACGGCGAGGAGGGGGAGGAACCTCAAACCACGCATAATTTAACTTGGGCGGTGTGTTCTTGCCCTCTTAGCTCCTCACGACAGGGCACCATCATCCGCAGCCGCCCGGTGACTATGTCGGGTTTGTCGCGGCCTTGGTGCCTGCAGATCATCGGCCCCGATCGCAGAGATCTCAGACCTTCCTCCCCTACGATCCAGGCGTCGCGTTTTTCCACGCCGGACCTTTTCGCCCAGATCCGGGCCCTAGGCCTTCGTGGATGGATCGATAGACATGCCGCAGAAAGTTGGGGTCCAGGGTTCCAGTCCCAGGCATCGCTCGGACGTGTGCATTTTTTTTTCGGCGAGGGCCATGGAGGAGCATCCTTGATCATTTTGCGAAAAAACCACGCACGAAACTGAAAAAAACACAGGGAATGGACGTCCGAGCGACGGCAAGAGTCGCGACTGTTCATGATGTGTTTTTTTCTCGCGACGTCGGACCTCGGGGCCTCGGGGTCTGGCGGCTCGAAGAGGTCGCGCCGGAGACTCTTCCCGCGTTTCGGCGCCCAGAGGCCGTTTCCAGGCCCCCTGGCGGTCAGAAAACGACCCAGGGTGAAAAGTTGGCTTCTGGGGAAGGGGGGATCGGAAACTCTGGGGGCAGGCGGCTCGAAAACATCGGGCCGTCGCATGCGTGTGGGACACGCGGCATCCATCGTGGCAGGAACCGTGCTCGAATCGCGTGATCGGAGGCCGTGGCCGCTGCCGTGGTCGAACGCACCTAGAAAACCCACGGCGTCGTCAGAGAAATCGCGCTGGAGCTCTCGGCCTGGCCACTGTGAGAGATTGGTGCTGACCGAACCCGGTCCGCGAGGTTCCCAGGGCCCGAGGCGGGACAGCAGGTGTGCCCGTCGTGATGCTCGACGCAACGCCCGGGGCCAAGACGTCAAAGGACAGTGTCGTCGTCGTCGTCCTTGGAGGCCTCTGGGCCCCACGCCGTGCGAATACCGTTATTCCCCACATTCTAAGTGGGGTTCTGATTTTCTCTACACCCGCGTCGCACCCGCGTTTCTTCTCCTCACCTCCTCCTTCTCACTCGTACACACACCACACCACGCCATCCGTCACATCACACCACACCACACCACACCATACCATACCACACACACACGGTTCTGTTCCCCACATGTTCCGTGGGGTTCTGTTTTTTCCCTTCCGCGTCTCACCCGCGTCTCCTCCTTCTCCTCCCTCTCCTTCTCTTTCTTCCCCACATGTTTCGTGGGGTTCTGGTTCCCCACATGCTTCGTGGGGTTCTTCCCCACATGTTTCGTGGGGTTATGGTTTTCTTCCCTGCCGCGCCGCACCCGCGACGCTCACACTCACACCTCACTCTTCCCGTCCTCCTCACAGCACTGCTCAGCGCGGCAGGCGTGGCACTTTCTCGACACCAGAGGGGGTGCGCAGGGGGTGGTCCCTGAGCGCGGCGTCTATGCGGGCCATGGCGCAGGGCACGGCAGGCGTGGCAGTTTCTCGACACCAGAGGGGGTGCGCAGGGGGTGGTCCCTGAGCGCGACGTCTATGCGGGCCATGGCGCAGGGCACGGCAGGCGTGGCAGTTTCTCGACACCAGAGGGGGTGCGCAGGGGGGGTCCCTGAGCGCGGCGTCTATGCGGGCCATGGCGCAGGGCACGGCAGACGTGGCATTTTCTCGACCCCAGGCAGAGCGCGCAGAGGGTGGTCCCTGAGCGTGGCGTCTATGCGGGCCATGGCGCAGGGCACGGCAGGCGTGGCAGTTTCTCGACACCAGAGGGGGTGCGCAGGGGGTGGTCCCTGAGCGCGGCGTCTATGCGGGCCATGGCGCAGGGCACGGCAGGCGTGCATTTCTCGACACCAGCGCAGGGGGTGGTCCCTGAGCGCGGCGTCTATGCGGGCCATGGCGCAGGGCACGGCAGGCGTGGCAGTTTTCTCGACACCAGAGGGGGTGCGCAGGGGGTGGTCCCTGAGCGCGGCGTCTATGCGGGCCATGGCGCAGGGCACGGCAGGCGTGGCAGTTTCTCGACACCAGAGGGGGTGCGCAGGGGGTGGTCCCTGAGCGCGGCGTCTATGCGGGCCATGGCGCAGGGCACGGCAGGCGTGGCATTTTCTCGACACCAGAGGGAGTGCGCAGGGGGTGGTCCCTGAGCGTGGCGTCTATGCGGGCCATGGCGCAGGGCGGCGGGCGTGGCAGTTTCTCGACGCCAGAGGGGGTGCGCAGGGGGTGGTCCCCGAGCGCGGCGTCTATGCGGGCCATGGCGCAGGGCACGGCAGGCGTGGCAGTTTCTCGACACCAGAGGGGGTGCGCAGGGGGTGGTCCCTGAGCGCGGCGTCTATGCGGGCCATGGCGCAGGGCACGGCAGGCGTGGCATTTTCTCGACACCAGAGGGGGTGCGCAGGGGGTGGTCCCTGAGCGCGGCGTCTATGCGGGCCATGGCGCAGGGCACGGCAGGCGTGGCAGTTTCTCGACACCAGAGGGGGTGCGCAGGGGGTGGTCCCTGAGCGCGGCGTCTATGCGGGCCATGGCGCAGGGCACGGCAGGCGTGGCATTTTCTCGACACCAGAGGGGGTGCGCAGGGGGTGGTCTCCCTATGCGTGCCAGGGTCGTCCAGGCATAGCAGGCGTGGCATTTTCTCGACACCAGAGGGGGTGCGCAGAGGGTGGTCTCCCTATGCGTGCCAGGGTCGTCCAGGCATAGCAGGCGTGGCAGTTTCTCGACACCAGAGGGGGTGCGCAGAGGGTGGTCTCCCTATGCGTGCCAGGGTCGTCCAGGCATAGCAGGCGTGGCATTTTCTCGACACCAGAAGGGGGTGCGCAGGGGGTGGTCTCCCTATGCGTGCCAGGGTCGTCCAGGCATAGCAGGCGTGGCACACAAGACATAAAATCATTATGTGGGGTTCCTCGGTAGCGTAATTCTTCTTCTTGTGATCAATATTCGGTTTACTAATTCATACTTTGGCCCACGTGGACCCCAAACAGTAACTCATTGCACTCTTGAGGTGGAAACTACGCGGTGTAAACAATACGGTGCAAGCTATGTCGCGGAAGCTACGTGGTGCGAGCTATGAAGGTGAGCGCCATGCGGTGTAACATATCCGGTGCAAGCGATGTCGTGTGATACAGGTGACGTGAGCTGGAAGTGAACGCCGCGCGGTGCAGGCTATGTGGTGTCAGCAATGTCGTGCAGGCGATGCGGCGCAAGCTATGTGGCACAATCGACGTGGTGCAAGCTCGGCGCACGGGGTCCCCACGAGCGCCCCCGAGGCGCCCACGGGCGGCAACGTGGCACGGCGCCGGCGGACCCGCCCAGCGCACGGGGGCGCCCACGAGCGCCCCCGAGGCGCCCACGGGCGGCAACGTGACGCAACGCCGGCGGCGCACGCGGCGCCCACGAGCGCCCACGAGGCGCCCACGGGCGGCAACGCGGCGGCAACGCGGCGCAGCCTCGGTGGGCCCACCCGGTGCACACGGGGCGCCCAGAAGCGCGTGGGGCGGCCACGAGGCGCCCACGGGCAGCAACGTGGCGAAACCTCGGCGGGCCCCCCGAGCGCGGTGGGCGGCAGCGAGGCGCCCACGGGCCGCACCGCGGCGACACCTTGGCGGACCCATCCTATTCTTGAGGGAAGCCAAGGACAACTCCATGGGTAAGCACAAGCACAGTGTGGGATGAGTATCTTTATGAGCGTCCGATCATAAGGTGTTTCCTATGGTTAGCGTCTTTCTTGCTATTCGTATGCTCAGTGGTGCCTTATTTTATTATTAGTGCTATTCACGTGGTTTACGCCAGTCCACCGACCTCATGTACGTGGCTATATATCTATATATATATATATATACACACACACATGTATATATTGCGACGATCGTGTAAGCCATCCTGACCGCTGGGGCCTGGCGACATTAGCCCATAATGCGGCCCTCTCGCTGTCTGTCTGGGTCCTCGTGGAACCCTCAGAGCGGCGCGGGGTGTGCTGAAAAGTTATGATGCCCTGGCAGGCGCCTTGGAAGCTCGTCGCCGTTTCCTCCAAGAGGACTCTGGACTTCTAGGGCGGAGTAATCACGGGGAAGGCGACATGCATCATGTCACGCGACTTCGCTGTTCTGAGAGTCGAAACAGCGGACTCTGGGTCTCCTGGCCGTTCTGTGACGTTCATTTGTTCGGGAAGTCCCGTCGGTGCTTTTGCGATGACAGCCTAGTGTTTCCTGCCTCCTTTTCCTTTCCTCTTCTCGCCAGGAAGGGGAGAGGCGGGGGACGGGCGGGGGAGAAAATAGAGAGGAGGCGGGACTGAACCGAAAGAGCAGGAGACACCAGAACGGGATGGAGGGAGTGGGAGGAGTGGTAGGATGGGGGGAGGAGAAGTGGGTGTGGCGAAGGATGATTGGTAAGTAGGAGGAGGGAGGGAGGGGGGGGATGTCAGAAGGCAAGGGACGAACCATTAACCAGATGAGGTGAGCAGAAGGAGGGGGAAGAGGACAGAGGGAGGGATGAGGCGGAGGTGGCGGTAGTGTGATAATGACGGTGGTGATGTTGATGGAGACGATGATGACGCTTTGTGATGACAATGGTGATGATGACGGTGATGATTTCCACCGCAGTGTTTGCAGAACTAGGGGCTCTTGCTTCGGTTAACCATCTGCCGCCCGTCGCCGTCGCCGCCCGTCGCCGCCATCCCCGCCCATCGCCGCCTGTGCCGCCCGTCGCCGTCGCCGCATCAAATTCATTGCACCGCATAGATTGCATTACATAGGTTGCATCGCATACATTGCACAATATTGATTGCACCGCATAGACTGCGTTACATAGGTTGCATCGCATACATTGCACCATAAAGGTTGCACCGCATAGACTGTGTTACATAGGTTGCATTGCATACATCGCACCACACATATGTTGCATTACATACATTACACCGCATACATTGCACAACATGGAGTGCACCGCATAGACTGCATTACATTGGCTGCATTACATACATTGCACCACAGAGTGCACCGAATAGAGTGCATTACATTGGTTGCATTACATACATTCTCCTTTCTAAAAAAGAGAATAGACTCCACCCCCCCCCCTCTGCGTTCGCCCGCCGCCCTCCTTTCGAGTATGTAAATCATATATG